CCCCAGTACCAAAAACAAAACAAAAAACACAAAATAGGAAGAACTGACATAACACTTAAATACTACAAAAATAGTTGAAAACATATTTGTAATGCAGTTCTCTATAAAATATACAGTTAATCTTATTACTTAAAAAACTGAAAAACAAAAGATCACCATGAATAATGGTGAAAACCTCATCAAAGAAAAATGCTCATCATTTGGATATCATTGGCAGAAAATGAATAAGATTTTGTTGAGGGGAACAAGGAAGGTACCTAATGAAGTCATTCATGTACAATTTGCTCAAAAATGTTCATAAAGTTGTAAATTTCTGCTTGTACCATCTTAAAATATTATACCATGAACACACTTTCTACTATTTAACTGGAGGACAAAAGAATATCTTGAAAAAAACGTTTCTCAAAATGAGGTTCAAAAGCCCAAAAGAATTCTAATGTGGGCTCAGTAATAAATATGTTAAACAAACACCCTGTGTGATTACTCTACATTCTGAATGCCCTACGGAAAAGATCAACACTTAAAATCAAGATCATAAACATATTTCTGACATGTTAGAATTCTCTATAAGTTTATGTTGTGAATACTGCTTTTTGTTTTAAAACAAGTGCTAGGCATTAAGAGAAACATACATGCCTCTGAAATGAACATGTGAATGTCTATAAACATTTTCCTTTGATGTTTTCATTAGTTTAAAACTAAATTATATGAAGAAAAGATAATAAATACATGACTACAAGGTTTGGAAAAGTAATATTTCTCATGAAATGGGGCATCTGAAAAAGATCAAAAGATAACTTATTAAATCTTTACAAATTTCAAATTGTTCTAAATTTAAAACTAGATCATTAATTAAAATTAAATTAAACTAAGATTGTACCATTATAACTTATTTACATTTAGATGATGATGGTTAACTTTCAAATCATTGGCATAAAAATGATGCTGAAACAGAAGGATGATATATAGCATCCTAATTTTACTTAATGATGTAGTTTTAAATTTAGAATGATTTAAAATTTGTAAACATTTAAGAAATTATCTTTTAACCATTTTTAGATGCCCCATTTCATGAAACCTACTACCCCTCCAAAGTTTGTAGTCATATATTGTATTTTTCCCATATAAAAAAGATACAAGTATATGTATTTTTATTCAAAATTGTTGCTATTTTTTGGATTTTCCTGAAGATTACATAAACTGAGCCCAAAAGGTACAGGTAATGTGGTTGGAGAGAAACTAGCATAGGTAAGATATCTTACTGAAAAGACAAATTGTTTTCTTGTATCATAAATAAAAAGAAAAAATATTAGAGATTATGTCTCACTCAACAAATGGAATGCATATACAAGAGTGGTTAACAAGTGATTGCCTCATTGTTATTTAAATCAGTTCATAAAAATCTAATCTATGAACAAAAAATTCCATATTTTCTGCTATAGACTATAAGAATCAAGTATTCCATCTAAATATAACTTCAAAACAATACATTAAAATTAGCTTCCATACAATTCTGAAATGGTTAATTCTATCTAGGCAGGTAACAAGTTTTTCCAAGCATTAAATGGCAACATAAGTAAAATGCATAGTTGAAAAATGAGGATCAGACCCATTCTTCATACATCGTAAGACGATTGATATACTCAAAACCTGCAAATTCATATCTATCAAGCTCCCACACCATGTCATTATCATCTGGGGTGAGCCGGACAGGTTGGTTATTAAATTCAGGATCAAAGTTGTCCAAACTGAATTGCTCAGAGATATTTGGTTTAAAGGGAGGCACCACCTGCTTTTGCTCCATCATGTCCCAGTCCACATTTTGAAATAATGGATGCTCCTGAACATCAGCAAAGCCCTTGAGGGGATGACAACCCAGTCATTCTTTTGGGTCCCTGTTCAGAAAATTCTCCAGGACACTTGCCGCTTTTACAGACAGACAACGAGATATGAAAATGTCTCTTTCCAAAATTACTTGCAAGAGATTCTTGATTGAGTCTCCATAAAGGTTATCAGAGGTCTTATCAAGATGGAATGGAGACTCTTCAATCATCATCTCATACATCAGTACTTCAAGAGTCCACCAGTCCACACTGAAACTGTAATCTCCCTCTCTTATAATTTCTGGAGCCATGAAATGAAGAGTGCCACAGAAAGTTCGGGTCGTGTCTCCTGTCTGTAAGCCTTCCTTACTCAAGCAATAATCAGTGAGTTTAATGTGCCCTTCTGGGTCCAGTAATACATTTTCCAATTTTAAATTTCTGTGAAGTATTCCTTGCTGATGAAGATAGTTGAGTGCTAAACTGATTTCTGCAGAGTAAAACCTGGCATGTTCTTCAGGAAGCATTCTTTATTGCTGCATATGAAACATCAGATCTCCCCCATTCACATAGTCTAGAACAAGGAAGAGTCTGCTTTCTGTCTGGAAGCAAGAATGCAGCCCAACAAGAAAAGGACAATTGGATGCCTGCTGTAAAACGCAGTTCTTTCTCTGTACCTGATCAATGGTGACACGCTCTTTTTTCACTGCTTTCATTGCATACATATGATTTGATTCTTTCTGTTGGACTAACAGTACTTTCACATAACTTCCTCTGCCAATCACTCGGAGCAAATCAAAGTCCTCAAGACCTAAACCTGATGAAGCTTTGCCACTTTCCATGGTGTTCCCTGCCTCATTCTCTTCATCAACTTGTTCTAAAGCCTCATGAGTTGAAAGGTTATTTGGGATCCCTGTGCATGCAGGGTCTGAAGCCATGGATGATGGATCAACTGGCACCATGGGCTCTGATGGTAAAGAACGATGCCCACATTCAATTGTGACAAGTTTGTGGCACTTCCTGTGAACCAAGAGTTTACAGTTGGTGCACTTATACACCTGGCAGCCAAGTCCCCCTACACGGTCTGTGCAGACAGCACAGTGAGCTCGCCTGCTGAAGCGTTTGGCCTGAAAAGCATGGCCATTCGCACAATACAGCTTTCTCCAGTGGCCTGCAGCTCTGTGGTGGATGGATTCCTCTTCTCCTGGACAAGGTACTTTAGGATGTTCTGATATACAAGGCGATGAATGAATTAAGAGCTCAGAAAGCCTAATGGCCTCTTCTAACTCCAACTGATGTGACACAGTATATGGGTCTCCTTCCTCCTCTACCCAGTGTGTGGTGAAAAGCTGTTTATTGTCCAAACATCACACATCTCAATCTTTATCACACAGGCCCTCAAAGGAGCTAGAATTCTCAAGAGACCTTGTCATGATGTCTCCTCCCAAAATCAGGGCCAATTGGGTAGAGGTGTGGGTGGTGGAGGTGCCTGGGAAGAAGGGACCATAGACGGGTTGGCTGCCCAGGGAAACAGGCAGGCAGGGCTCAGTGAACAAGAGCGGCCTGACTGCCTGCAGGGACCACACTGGTCGGAATGCTGCAAGGCTCTCTGTGAAGTTATTTCCAGTAGCAGTGGCCAGGTGTGGGTGGATGTACACAAGGCTTCTCAGTGTCTCTCGGGGGCCTGTGGCTATGACTTTGGTCTCCCTCCCTGGACTTTGACCCTCTAGGTTTTTTTGGGTTCCCGGCTCTGGGGAGACCTGCCTGATGGGACCTGCCGTCACTAGTTGAACAGTACCTGAGAGGAGGGGTGAGGATGAAAGAAAAAACACACTTCAAAAGAAAAAAGACATACTCGTCCGGGCTCCTAAGACCGAACAAGCAAGTTTATTTTCACCTCTCTTTTATACACTCAGTGAATTAGGTCATTAACCATGACTTTTATCCAAAACACCTGCTTCATTGTTTAACAGTTATTTGGGAATTCCCCACCCTCATGGGCTTCCTTGTTTCTTGGGCTTACAGAATGTTCATCATGTTCCAGGGCAATCTAATTCGGCAAGTACGTGGTTCTTCATAACATAGTCTCCATGAAATGGAGGGTAAGATTCAAAATGGAGTCTCCTTAGCTACCACCACTCCCCACACCTGCCCAGAGCTACTGGATGTTTCTGGGCCTGGTGATACTTGCCCCACATTCTTCCCAGTTTCTGTACCATTGGTATTTGGGCTTAGGGAGACTTCACCGGGGTACCTTGATTTTGGTAGGTCACTGTTGGTCATTCCTGGGGAGACCATCCCTGGGGTATCTGTGACAGTCATGCGGCTGCTGCAGTGTGGCCTGTGGTGTCTGGATGGAGTCAGCCATCTTCTTAATCTTTCACAGATACTTTCTCTGCCTGGGGTCCTGAGGCTGCGGCCTCTCGAAGTGGAGAAGCAGCTCAGCATGTTCAACGTTGACTGTCTCCGCCCAAGTGAGGTCAGGAGACAGCTGTTACTAGATTGTGATGCCCGTTAGCAAGGGTTCCAAGTTCTGTTTGGAAATGTTGCCAAGGGAGTGAGCTCAGGTCTTGGGGTTCCATAACCTGAATCTCCATGTAATAGAAAGGCCTATAGCCCTGTACGGTTAGAGACCCTTAGGCAGGGAGACATGAGCCCCTCCCTATAGAAATTCAGATACCTGGCAGAACAGGCGTAACCACCCATAAAAAGCTGATAGTCTGCTGAGGTTGCACCTCTTCTGCATGCTGTACCCTGCAAAGCTTGGTTTGTAAATTGGTTGGGCTGGACTCCACCATGTGATCTTTTTACCTCAGCTATCCAGAGTGTTGGGATTACAGCCTAATTCAGTGTGTTTTAAGAATATATTCTTGATCTTCTCCTCTTACTTTTTTATATTTTTGAGAGAATTACAAGACTTGTGACCTTGCAGGCAGAGTACACTCCGAGTTTCTCCAGTTTCTTGGCCGGTGGCGCGGAGCGCAGCTGCGCCATCTTCACGGGATCCGGGATTCAGGCCAAGCCGCCGACTCCGGGGCCCTCGGCCATGCCTCCCACCACGCCCGCCGCCTCCACTGTGGGCGGCGGCGGCACAGGGGGGCCCCTGTGGGGGCACAGAGGGCAGCGCCCTGGCTGCCCCCCTCCTCCCGCCGCCACCCGGTGCGGCCCCGCCAGCCTCGGACATGCGGCCCGAGAGTGGGCTGAGGCGCCGAGCTGAGGCGCCGCTGCGGCCAGGGTCCAGCTCCGGCTGTGCCTAGGCTAGTCTTTAAAGGATGGGAACAAGCCAGACTGAAGGGTTAATCAGGATGAAATAGGACAGGTACCCTCATGGGACATGAGACATGAATTCTCAGGTCTTAGTCCATGACCTGATCCCCTCTAGAGGTGGAAACATCTGTTTCCCTATCCTCCCTTGCTCATGAAGTATGGAATGTATCCTTCCCTTATGTCCTACTCTTTATCTCAACGACCAGGTGCTGTAACAGCAGAGGAGTGCCATGATGTCTCTAAGGATGAGAACAGCCACTGATCCATATGTTACACTGAGAAAATCCCTTAAAACATTAGAAAGAAGTCCTAAAAATGCTATATTCATAATCCAATGGACAATCCCCAGCTCCTAATGCTCCAGTGAAGCTATAAAAGATAATTCCATTCTTTTGTTAAAGGCCTTTCTGATCTTCTTTGTAGCACCACTGTCTCTTTTAGCTATTCTGTCTTCAACTGGAGGGCTTTTCCTATTCTCTGTTCCTTCTCAATTAAAGCTTTTGTCTGTGAATTTATGCTTTTTGGCTCTGTTTTAATTTCCATTATCACTGAAGCAAGTACCCACGTGTATCTTATACCAAGGACAGACATTAAGTTTCACAATTTTCCCCTAAATAAAGAGTGTGAAGAATGATGGTGAGCTGAACTAGGGTGGGGTTAGTAAGGATGCAGGATGGTGTACTCCATGCCTGCACTATGATAAATATGATAAAATGCAAGGCAGACTACCTCCTAATGTAGATGCACAGTGTTCCTATGACTTTGAGTCTACATTTTCTCTTCCTTTTCTGTTTAGAATGTGATTTGTCTTTCTGTGATCCTGTGTAAAATATTTAGAACCCAGACTTCTTGAGTCTTCTACTCATTAGTGAATGTTATACAGTGTTTCCTCAGAGCTCTATTTTCTGTAGAGTAAGACTCTGGGAGTTGTCAAAATGCCACAACACACAGACAAATTAACATTTAAGTCGATCTAAAATCTCTCAGATTAAGAGCTGTGCTTTTCAGAAGTAAATAAACAGAAATACATATACATTACACATACGTGTATATTATTTTTGTGAGACAGGGTCTCGCTGTGTAGTCCAAGTTAGTGTTGAACTCACTGTGTAGCCCAAACTGGCCTCAAACTCATGGCAATCCTGCCTCAGCTCCTCGGTGCTAGGATTACAGGTGTGCACCACCATGCCTGTCTCCCTGTGTGATAAATAATTATAAGCAGAATAGGGAAACAGAATAAATAGAAATATACTAATTTTGGTAAATTGATTTTATATATAAGAAGATGGAAATTCTTCATGGAATTTGGTATCGTGGGAATAATTGTTGAATCCACTTTACCACTTTTGGTAGTGAAAAAAGAATGGAGAAATCTTCAATTTAAACTGTAATTTGATAGGATATCGCTATTTTTATGTGAAAGTAGTTATTGTGATATTCCTATTAAGTAGGATGATAGAAACTTTATCCACATTATTTATCCTGAGGTTTATAAGACCAGTTGATACCTTGGTTTGAATTCAAAATTGTACTGACAGTTTATCACTTTGTTGGGAATCACTTTGTTTAAACTTCAGTGAGGGCCAGAAAGGAAAATGAGATCTCTAAATATTAAGAATAAGGAGCCATTTTCTTTATTAATTCTTTACTTGTACCATTTAATAAGATGCATAGAACTATCTTTTATTACTAAATGCACTTAGGAAGGCAATTTTAAAGAAGACAGTTTGGTTTCTGAATCTTACTCTTATATTAAAATCATCTAATAAAGTGTAGGGAAGGCACTAAAAATTTGGGTTTATTAAGTGGATTAGAGTTTTTAAGGTTTTATTTTACTCTAATTTTATTTCTACCATTATAGCGTGGCATTATAGAACTGAGCAAATGGTACAATGGTGTTGCCATATAGCAATTATTTTCTTCAGGAGTTTACACCACCTCAAATGAGAATTCAATGAGACATTAGTTCCTTGCTGAATCCCAAGAGTGGAATAGTTTCATGCAAGATAACAGTGCTGTCAGTCTTCACAGTGATTTTTAGGATGTCTTTTTAGTAGGACCCAGAACCATAAGCTCCATGTGTCTACTTATTCTCCTAAATTACACTTTAATCCTACTTTTACTATTAGGTAGCATTTTAGGCTGAACTATCATTATCCCCTCTTCCATGAGCCTAACTGGCTCTTAACTAGCCTGCCTTTGTATGCGCCTTTCCACAATTTTTAGTTACGGAGTACCTGGAACATCTCTTTTCTGCTAAAAACCACCAGTAGATCCTTTCCATTGCATTTATAGTTAAAATCCAAACTCTTTATCCTGGCTCCTTCTTTTTGCTCCATGCTCTCTAGTCACACAGTCTTTATTTTGGTCACCTAGGCATACTAAATTCTTACCTGTCTTAGGAATACTGTATTCTTCCTCTGGCCTTCAGGTGGCTGAATCTTTGCCCTTTCTCTCTTGGCCTGACCAACTTGCCTGAGGTGACCTTCTAGTCATTTTCTATCATAACTCTTCTCAGCCCTTATACTTTCTGAATCAATCTTTCTGTTGTGTATTATAAATGTTTTCATAATTTAAGAATAAATTATTTGTATCTCTCTAACTATATTTTTTTGGCCTGACTACTGCCCCTTCTCCCAAATATGAGCTCCATGGTATCAATGTTGGTGTCTGTTTTGTTCACTAATATATCTTAACTTCCCAGAACAGGCCTGGGACTGTAGATGATTCTTCGTAAATATTGAATTAATGGATGGCTGAAAGCATCAAATTTGACTTCAGATGGGCTTAGGATAAATGCCCAATTCTTATTTGCTGTATGATTTTGGTCAAATTGCATAATAGACTTACTAAAACTGTTTTGATGTTATTAAATGAAGTCAGAAACACTGCTTATCTTCATATCCATTATGAAAATGAATCCAACAAATATATTGAGCCCCTTATCTCTTTCTCACAAAAAATAAAAAACAACCCTAATAATAAATCATAATCATAGTTTTGACTATTATTGCCTACACTATATCCATTTTTGTTTTAGTTTCCATCACCCTAAATTAGAGCTTAATACTATAACAATATTAATGGCCCATAGAAAACCAGGAGGGTATTTTAAAATAGATTTTTATTTTTAGAGCAGTTTTAGGTTTATAGCACAATTGAGGGGAAAAGTACAGAGATTTCTCATATAACCCTGCCCAACCCACACTCAATCTCCCTCACTATCAACATTCCCTTGAGAATGGAACATTTGTTATAACTGATGAACTTGCTTTTGTCATGTCATTAATACCCAAAGTACATAGTTGCCATTAGGGCTCACTCTTGGTGTTGCACATTCTGTGGATCTTGGCAAATGTTTAATGACATACATCTACCATTATAGTATCATACAGAAGGAAAAAGAATTAAGATATATTATGCATAAGAAACAGACCTGAGGATCAGTGGAATAGATTAGAAGATACAGAAACAACTCCAGACACACTCAGCTACCTGATCTTCAACAAAGGAGCCAACCATCCTCACTGGAGGAAAGATAGCCTCTTTAATAAATGGTGCCAGAAAAACTGGATTTCAGCTTGCCAAGGATTAAAACTAGACCCCTATCTTTCACCATGCACTAAAATAAAATCAAAGTGGATGAAAGATCTAAATATTAAAACAGAAACATGAAACTTGCTGGAAGACAAGTTAGGTAGAACTCTTGAAGACATTGGCATAGGGAAAGACTTTATGAACAAATCCTCAGTAGCACAGGAACTAAAACAAAGAATCAACAACTGGGATCTCAT